GTACACGATGAGAAGTGTTGAGGTACACGATTGCAAGCGAGGAGGCCATGTTTGGAGGGGGGGGAGGTCGTATCGCTGAGCATCACTTGTGACATGGAAAGAAAGCATCGTTCTGATTTTCGATTCTTGTGGCACGCCATCTATCTAGACAGAAAACGACGGCGTGCGTGTGGGGTATGGTTGTGGCACAACATCGAGGCGAGATCGACGTTGTGCGCTTCGTTTCGGTCTCCTCCCGCCTACACCGAGTACCGTACCCCAAGAAAGCACACGGCACGACAACGCAGGAGCGGTCTGCAGCGCGCCCATCAACACCAGTGACCTAGCAGCACATATCACCACCCCCTTTGGTCCTTCTCAAGCAAACACGGGTATGACATGTATCCCTTTCAACGGTGTTCGCCAACACAGGTGGACAAGAGCGCTGTCCCCCTGTAACCCTCCGACGATAGGGACAAGGGGATATGCATACCCTTAACGGGGTTAGCAAATCAGGTTAACGGGCTCAACAGAGAAGGCGAACTGGGTTAACAGATCAGGGTTGACGGCGATAACAAATCAGGGGCAAGCACGCCGCCTGTAAATCCTCTCACAACGTCGACCGCCCCCGCCGCGCACCTCGTCGATCAGACCTCCGGTAAAGTCGCCGCCCACCGCCACGTTCATGATCAGGTAGAAGCTCGTGTCGAAGGGGGCGGGGAAGGGGTAGTCTTCCTCTCCCGGTCCGGGCCTGGAATACCAGTAGTGCCGGTCGCAGTACAACACGCCATCCAGGTACCACCTGGCCGGGAAAAAAAAAATTTGATGGCGATTTACTGTTGTGATTTCATGGCCGAGATAGCTGTTGTACCATATTGCCGTCGTTGTCTCAAAAGGCTACATAGCGCGAGGAACAGTTGCACGGCCGGTACTTGGTGGTCTGCAGCGAAAGCAACAATAACAACGACGACGACGACGGCATCAACATCGATAGTCAAGGCAACAGCAGCAACGACGACAGAACAACGACACACTCAAGCCAAGCCCCCCTCCCAAAAACACACACACACACACGAAAGCAAAGCACGGCCAAAAACCACGCTACAGCAGTGTCGCCGTCCGCTCCCACCACCACAACAAAAACCAGCCTCTTTACAAAACCAACTTTTCGTGCAGAGCCGCTTGGCGCCGTCAACGTCGACAAGAGCAACCCAACGTCTACCCACAAAGCTCAATGCACCTGAAAGAGTCCGTCTCCCACTCCAGGGCGTAGACGTGGTAGTCCTCCGACAGGTCATCGTGGAGGTCCGAGTAGCAGTGACCCCCCTCACTCAGGTCCAGTTTTTCCACGTCCGGGTAGGCCCCGCCAAATGCTAGTTGGCTGGAGAGAGAGAGGGGGGGGGGGCACCGTGGATCAGCGTGGGATGGCTACAGTGGAGGTCCCTGATTCGCGTGCCGGTACATGTGGCCAGAAGTTTCGCCGGCACTCTACCGGGACCGGCACTATCCGAAGCATTGACAATGACTTGGAAATTCAGTGTGCACTTTACCCCTCGAAAACACCACCACTATACCGGGCACCGGCAATACTCAACTGGCACTAAACAGGGACCTCTACTGTACTCCATAGTAGAACTCACTGCGAATGACTGCTGGCGAGGTTATTGACAAAAGTGAAACATGGCTCGAGCAGAAGCGTTCAGAGCCCCACGAAAACGATTTACAACGCGTCTCTTGTCCGCGCGCGCAACGAGGCCCCAAGTCATCACACTGCTGTATTCACGGTCTAAAGCACGAGTGCAATTTAGTTGATTGGTCCTCGCGTAACGGCATTCCTCTGCCGCCGCTGAAGGCGTTCCTCTGAAAGCGGCGTTCCAACCATACCGTTCCTCTTCCACCGCTAGAGGTGTTCCACTGCCACCCCTGAAGGCGTTCCGCTACCGGTAAAGCTCTTCCCCTGCGGCCGCTACTAACGGTGTTCCTCTTCCACCGCTAACGGCGTTCCCCTGCCACCTCTCAAGGTCTTCCCCTGCCCCCGCCAACGGTCTTCTCGCCATCACTTACCCGTGCACCCTGGACATCTCGTTCCGTGCCTCGAGGATGTTGATCGCGCCCCCCGAGGCCCAGCCCCCGTACGGGCTGTCCTGGGGTAGCATCCAGATGGACGGCCACAGCCCCTGCGCCTTGGGCAGCTTGACACGGATCTCGATCCGACCGTAGGTTATCGATACCATCGTGTCGGTGCTCAGCTGAAAATTAGGATAGCGTGGTTGGTTTTGTTGCGGTCAGATTGCAGCTGTTCGGTAGAAAGGGGGGAGGTAGATGATCCCTGCTGTGTAAAAAGGGGTGGAGGCATAAGTTTGCTCCAGGAAAAAAACAAAAAGCAGGAGAAACCCAGGTGTGTATGAATTCATCAGTATTTCCTAGTCTTTGAATAGAGACGAAGTTTTTTTTTTCTGTCAGTTTTTTTTTTTCTGTAAGACAGAAAAAAAAAACTTGACGGCAGCAGGCAGCAAAATATGAGAAAGGGAGTTCACGCACAACCTCACCGCCTTCCCTCTTTCTCCGCAACACCGTAAATACCTACCACAAATTGCCGACCGATCGCCAAATTTGGGGTTAGGTTAACGTCTCTCTCTCGCGCTCTCTCTCTCTCTCTCTCTCTCTCTCTCTCTCTCTCTCTCTCTCTCTCTCTCTCTCTCTCTCTCCCTCTCTCTCTCTCTATCTATCTCTCTCTCTCTCTATCTATCTATCTCTCTCTCTATCTATCTATCTCTTCCTCCTACCGTACCATTGCCCCTCTCTGCCACCAGTCCCTCGCCCCCCTCTCACTGCAAAGCGCAAGCTTGTACATCAAATGTTGTCGTGTTTACTGTACCTTGGCAGAGGTGTAAATGTTCCCCGCGTATGTCTCCGCCTTCGCCGTGATCGAGAGCTTCCCATCCCGTATTACCACGTTCTCTTTGCGGTACCACTGGGCCTCCCCGTTGCCAAACCCGCAAATGTCCATTTCGCACCCGTCACCCTTCAGAGAAAAGAAGACGGGAAAACATCACGGAAGAGAGACGTTGGCATAGCAGCATGGCATCAAGCGGGGGGCGACATAAATATTTGTTGCTCTCGGCGGTACTTGGCTTGGTTTTCCTCTTTCTTCAGGCTAAGTAGAAAGGAATTCTTTAGGTTGTGTCACACGCACGCCAACACGCACGCCATGCTACATTTTTTTTTGTTTTTCGTCTTCACTTCAAATCAGCGCTCACTACACGGCAGCACATATTGTATGAACTACATGGTAGCAGATATTGTATGAAAATTCGCACACCTCTGGGTGCTGCGCCACTGCCAGCACCACCACAAAAAAAAAAAAAAGGACACCTGGTCTATGGCTGTAACGACTACGATAGGTGACGCAAGATACCACACCCACTGGGTCGATTTTCAAGGCTCCAATACGCCATCATTTTGCGGAAAGCTCTCGACGAGGCGGCTCCAACGCCGCCTTCGCATATCGGACTTTGTGAAAAAAATCAGCTCAGGGGGTGTATTACCTTGTGTCGTACACGGCAGTAAATAACAACTGACCTCCTCGTGTTGCCACCAGTACTCCAGCCCCATGGCCCCTTCTCCGGCCGCCTCCTGAGACGCCGCGTCGAGCTCAATCCCGTCGAACTCGTCTTGCCAGGTGAGGTTCCCTTCCTGCTGGTACATGGGGATCGCCGACGCCGCCTGTGCGCGTGTACGGAAAATGCATACAGTTATCGGCGGCGATTAAGAAGCGTCGATTCGGGGTCGAGGGTCAATTTCTTTATTCGTCGCCACCATCGAGCATAGTTCATGCTATAGAGAATAGTGTAGGATCCACGGCTGAGGTGTGTGTCTCATTATAGTCGATTATCTTTATATTTTTCGCCAAACCTGAGCCGTTGTTTCTTAAACGTCTGTTTCTCACTCGCGGGCGGTTTGGTTCTTACTTGCCGGCGCTAAGTACTGCTGTACAGCAACAAGCTTTGGTTCCGGGAACAAAATTACGCATTGCCTCAAAAACGTAGTACGAGGACCGGCCGCCCAGTACAAAGGTTTGGTTCAGGGAACAAAAGCACGCAGGGCAGCGTAGGTAGTAAAAGGCCGGACGCCCAGCACAAAGGCCGATGAGATCGCGCGACACAACAGATGGAGTATGACAAATCTCGTCTTGCTACTGTTCTGAATAGTGCCATCGGGTGCCCGGCATACGGAGTGGTCAGATCTCACATTGTTGCCACTGTCTATGCTGCCGTATGCTGGGACCACCAACCTTCTCCTGCAGGCCAAAAACTTCCCGAAAAACGCACATGACAAAGCCAAACCACACACCATCAACAACAAAATATCAACAAACCTGCTCCAGAGAGGCCTCCATGTCCGTAAACTGGTGCGCGCTTATCTGCCCCACCGAGAGGGTCGCAGGAAGCGAGGACGCGTTGACCGGCTCTTCTCCGCCTAGGACCCCTCGGCCGACCGTCACTCCCACCGCAACGTACATATCCTGCGGCCCACGAGCAGGGAGGGCGGGGGGGAGGAGGGGCGTAGGCGTTAGACCATTGGGGGGGGGTAGGGGAGAACGAGAAAAAACTCCTAAGGAACATGTGCTACCTGGTTACGCTGGATGTAGCTAACCATGATCGCTTTGATTTTTGAAAATACGATCACAGTTAAAGATAGGTTTGAATACGCCACCTGTAGTTACAGAGTCTCGTACACACAGCCCGCCGGCGATCTATCCTCGGTCGGAGATCTATGTATCTACGGTCGGAAATATGCGGTCGGAGATGTACGGTCGGAGATCCGCGGTCGGAGATCTATCTACTGTCGGGGATCTACGGTCGGAGATCTATGCTCGGAGACCTATCTAGGTCCGAGACCTAAGGTCGGAGATCTATCTCCGGTCCGACATGTACGGTCGGGGGTCTGTGGTCGGAGATCTATGCTCGGAGATCTACGGTCAGAGCCGGCTAGCGCAGAACCCGTATGGAAATATACGGCATGCGACTCTTCAAGGGCGCACACACCTCGCCGAAAGGCCAAGACCCCCCCGCCTCCTCCACATCCAAGCTGGTAACCTCGCAGTACTGCCGCGTCCCCGCATACCACCTGGGATCGATCCGAGAAGATAATGTCAAGGGGCGATACGGTGGCGCTATACCGCGAAAAAACGTATATGCATACGGCAAGGAGAGGGGCACGCAGAGACGACAAGGGGGCGGGGGTTTACGCCATAATAATCGAGGGGGGTGGGGGGGGGGGGGGGGGGGGGGGG